CTGGGGCAGGGTGTCACAGGGCTCTTTGTGACATGTGATGCCATTGCCTCCTGGGCTGGGCCTGCTGTCCCTGCTCAGCCTGGCACTGCTGACAGAGCTCTCCATGGCACATCCCTCTCTTCCCTGCTCTCTGTTCTCCTGCAGGCCTTTCTGAAGTTCCTGGGCATTCGACGTAAAAGGACCACAACCAGACTGACTAGGACCATGGCACAGCCTGACCTCAGGCTGACTGAGCTGGAGATGAAGCCTGACGTCAGCACTGCACTGACTGATGGCACAGGAAACTGTGACACCCCACCGATTGTTCACACAGCAGAGTCTGACCCTGCTTTGACTGAGGATACAACAGACACTGACACCTCACCGATTGATCACGCAGCAACCTCTGACATCGAGTTGACTGATGAACTGGCAAACTCTGACATTTCCTTGCCTGATCTCACTGTGGAGGCTGACACTGCAACAACTGAGGGCACTGCAGACCCTGACCTCATGGCCAGGGAGAGTGTGAATTATGCTCCCACTCCAGATCTTTTGGAGGAGAATGGTGTCTCCAGTGCAGAGCAAGTAAGCAGCCTGTGGCCAGGCCTCAAGCCACCCTAGGCTGGTGTGGCCCCTCAAGCCAGCTCCCCTGGGCCCACTCAGCCTTTGAGGCCAGCACCGAGTGGTGGGAAGGGAAGCACTTGTTGGGGAAGCTGGGCAAGTAGGCAGCTCTTCCCCCATGCCTCCTCCAGGTGCCAGCCTTCGTGAGAAACATGTACCAGAGACTGACAGTCAACGTGACTCCAGAAGAGGAGCTGCTCATGGAGTTTCTGAGGGTGACCAAGGCATACCCTGCTGATGTTGTGGTCACCCTCCTGCGCTGTGCCCCATCCTGTGACAGGTACAGGACCCCCTGCCTTCGGGGCTCAGGGCTCACCAGTCTTTCGAGCCCCTCACCCCGTCCATCCCATCCCACGTGGTCTGCCAGAGGGATAGAGAGTTCCAGGATCCTCTGACCCCTCTGTTTCCCAGCCCTGCCATGTCAGCCCCAATCCTACTGCCATGCTCCCTCCCTGCTCCTCAAGGCCCTTTGGCCGGCACCCCCTGACACACAACTCTGGCCCCGCAGAGCTGCTGCCAGCATGTGGAGGACCATCGCCTCTTCGGGAATGGCACTGGAGAAGGTGCTGCCAGAGTTGCTCTGTGTGATGGAGGACTGGCCATTGCACAGCTCATCCACCTCTGACGGGGACAACACGCCTGTCTTTGCTCTGGCTGTGAGTTTCTGCAATGGGCTTTGGCTCCTTCCCAGGTCACTTCTCCAGTGGGTCTCCTTCCTCCCCAACACTGCATGTCCCTGCCTCAGGCACTGGGCTGGGAATGTAGGTTAGGACCAGGTTCAGGGGCACCAGGCCAGGGGCTCCCCCTGCATCTTCCCTGGGGTCTCCCTCCTATGCTCAGGCCCTGCCACATGGTCATCTGGGCCCTGAGAGCTGGTCCGGGTGGTTTATCTTTTGCAGGCAACCATCGTGGTTTGGGAGATTCTCCAGATGTCCCAGTGCCCAGAGCAATTGCAAGACCATTCCCCCCATCTCCTCGTGGATCTGCTCTTCCAAGTTTTCACCAGCACAGAGCAGATGCCAGAGGAGGTTGACGCATTCTGGAAGGGATACTGGGAGCAACACGGCCTTCCCACAGACTCCAAGAGGTGCTCCATCCCAGTCCTCCTGTCCCTTTCATGCCCTCGGGACTGGGTCAGGGCTCTAAGCGTGACCCGGGCTTCGCTCTCCACACAGATTTGCAGT